GAAGAGCTGGGCTCTAGCCTTCCTGCCTCTCCTGGTACTCCTGGGTACTCCCTGTCCTGTTCCGCCCTGGGCCGGTTTCTCTTGCCCTGGGGCAGACAGCAGGCATAGAGGTGGGGGTGGCGGAGCAGGACCAACACCCTGCCGTCCCCTTCACTCCCCAGCCAGGTGAACCTGAGTGTTCACAACCGCCTGGAGCTGCGGAACTCCTCCAATGTCCTGGGGATCATCCGCGGGGCTGTGGAGCCTGGTGAGCCCCCAGGAGCAGCCCTGCTCTGAGGCCCCTGACTGCGCCTTCCCTGCTGCCTAGCTGACCCACCCTCTTCTCTGGCTTCTGATTCTCCTCCTCCCCCAGACCGCTATGTGCTCTATGGAAACCACCGGGACAGCTGGGTGCACGGGGCCGTGGACCCCAGCAGTGGCACTGCTGTCCTGCTGGAGCTCTCCCGTGTCCTGGGGACCCTGCTAAAGAAGGGTGAGCCCCCCGACCCAGGAACTGTCCCCCGGGAGGTCACCTCCAAACCCACTCCTTCCTGGCTCTGGACATCGTCCCACCTCCTGTCTCATTCTCCAGTGCCCCCTTGTGCCTGAGGGCGCTGGAGGCAGACAGGCGTGGACACCAGCCCTGGCCTCGAGTAGCCCAGTGTGGTACAGGGACCGGACCGGACCACTGATTAATTCGTACAGTAGCTTCTGAGAGTAGCTTCTGGATGGAGGGAGGCCTAGATGCCGCTGTGAGTGAGGCAGTGTCCAGGCTCTGCCTCCGCGAGCTTCAGCCCAGTTGAGGCAGGAATGACAGTCCTTACCTCAGCACATGTGTCTCGGTGCCACTACATGTCAGGCCGGCCCTAAGCACCGGAGGCCCCACCGTGAACCCCCAGAGCACCTGCATGTAAGGACAGTTGTGATGGGCCACAAAGAGACTATCTGAGGGCTTCCCCAGGGGCAGCCTGTGGGCCAGTGTTTCTAGGATGGTGGGTAGAGAAGGGAGTTGGAGCTGGAGGGTCAGGAGGCCTCTCAAACCTGCCTCTAACGAAGAGGGAGGCAGGGCGCCCGGGGAAGGGACCACTTGACTGAGGGATACTGGTGTTGAGGGCAATGTTGGGGTGCTGGTGGGGTGTCACAGCAGAGGAGGGAGCCTGTAGGAAGACTTGGCTGGAGAGGTACCAGGACCTACCTCCAGCCCTCCGTCCTCTCCACGTCCCCAACCTTTCTGAGTCACCCCAGGATCTGGGGGCCCCGCCCTCTAACCCTTTATCCTTGCCCCAGGCACCTGGCGCCCCCGCAGATCGATC